CACGCTGGTTCAGGAGAGCTGCTCTGAACGAGCTCCCCACATGCTTGCCTTAAAGGCAGAAATAAAAACTTAGGGATTTTCTTTGGCCACCTCTCCAACTCCCAGCTGTTAAGCCCTGGAAATGTGTTCTTCATTATGTCCGAGAGAGAAATGTTTCTTTCTTCCGACTGGGATGGCAATAAACATGTCAGAGCGTAACGCGGCGCAGACACGGGAGCGCGAGCGCCTACGGAGCGCGCGCGGGAACGCCGGTCTCGTCTCCGTCCCTTCCTTTAGCTGGATAGAAACTCAATCACCGAGTGTCTCGTTCTGCCCCCAGGCAGTTGCTGCTTAATTGAGAAATTGTAAAAAATMCGCAGTTGTCAGCGGCCCCTTCGTATGAGGCTTCGAGTGCCCCTTCCCTTTGCACGGCTGCTCTCTCCTCAGCTGACCCCGGAGCCGCCGGGTTTGGAGCCGCCCAGGGGGCTATTCTGGATTAGGAGGAGGAGGGATGAATTCCCGCTCCGTGTGCTATTCCCGCCTCGCTTTGCTCATGTGSAGGATGCTCCAGCCTGCGTGATCCCGGCTGGGCCTGCCTGCCCAGGGCACATCCACAAATAGGAAGGTCCTAGGACACAGACTGGCACTTACTCTGCCTAAYCTTAGATAATGGTGTCACCTAAGTTTGGTGCATGGTTTCTCTCTGCTTTCACACCGCCGCGTGCTGTTTGGGGACATAAGGAGCTGGGGACATAGGTGGACATAGGAATGGGCTTGGATACTGCATATGGAGCAAGTTACCCAAGAGTCTGAGTTGCAGGGATTGAAWTGAAGGACAAATCACTGCTGCTGTCTCTTGGGGCCCCATCCCTTTTCTCTCTCTTCCCCCTTTTCCTTACCATAGCCCTAAGCTAAAGGAAGGAGGAGACCGTGAAGGGACTTTTCAGCTGTTCTGGACCTTTGTTCCCAATGTGGAAAATACTTGAAAATATCTGTCCCACCCACAAAGGCTGCAGCATATTTTCCCTTTAAAATAATATTTAATAGGAATATTTTTAAAAATTAAAATAGCAATAGAAGCAGGAGGGCATAAGCCAAACATTAAGACCGGGCCCTTGAGGATAGAACGAGTTTGTGAGCAACTGGGTCTTGAACTTTGTGGGAACTGGACTGGATTTGTGAAGTATTCCCGGATCTCCCGCCGTAATGTGAAGTCCTAAAAATAGCCCCAAACTTGCATAGCCCCCGTGACCTCGAAGCCGCTTTACAAGCGCCTCGCAGGGTAGCTGGGGTAGGTAACACCTGGCAGCACATCTGGGATTGCTAATTGCATGGGGGGCTTCATTGCTGGGGTGCATGAACACCCGGAGGCAGCTGTGGGATTGCTAATTGCGTGGGGGGCTTCGTTAGCATCGGGCTTGGATGGCCGGGATGCCCCAGCTGGGTTTGGAAATGGGTAAATAGCTGTGGAGGGCAGTGGAAAACGCAAGTCCCAGAGCAGTGATTGTGGCTGTGATTTCTACCTGGAGCTGCGTGGGAAGAACCAGGGATTTGGGAGCTTTTCTCGACCCGGGAGGGCCAGGACCTTGTTCCCCTGGGCTGCCCCTTTATTACTTTATCTTGTTCTCCCCATTCAGTCTGGGATGTTAAATGTTCTCTCTGAAGCCAGGGCGGGAAGGGGCTGCAGATAAAAAGAGAACTAAAGGTTGCAGCGATTGCTGCAAGGGGACGTAACGCGTTGCAGCAGCTCCGGGCGAGCCGGCACGCCGGGAAGTTCAAGGAAACCTTTATTTGTGCCGATGGAGACGCTCCGTGCAGCCTGCCTGGATTGTAGCACATCCCAAACGGCTGCGCTTGGGCTGCGCTCGGAGCGCCTCGCTGCTGAGTGCAAGGTTGTGTTCAGAGCCTTAGGACATGGTGCACAATGCTGCACTTAGAAAATAAGAAAAAAAAAACCAAATTTTAGTCGTCTTGCAGTGTCTGCTCGTCTGCCTGGTCACAAGGGCCCTCCCGGAGCCTCCCTCCTTCCCTGCATTCCTGCTCGGCTAATCCTCCGCATGYTGCTGCCCTTTACCCTCCGGCCGGCAGAAACCCGCCTGTCCTGMGCYGCTCCGCTCGCTCCCCCGCTCCCGCTTTCCTTGGAATCGGGATTCATCCCATTCTGCGCCTCTCCGCTCGCTCCCCCGCTCCTGCTTTCCTCAGAATCGGGATTCATCCCATCCTGCGCCGCTCCGCTCGCTCCCCCACTCCCGCTTTCCTCGGAATCGGGATTCATCCCGCAGTCTCCTGCCCACCTGCCCACTTCTGCATCCAAGGGCTGAGCCGGGGACCCACGGATGGAACCAGAGACCCACAGATAGAGCTCGGGACCTGCTGCCAGGGTCACCCAGCCCCAGAGGGGTTGGAACAACCTGTAAAGCTGGGCCTGGTCTAGGAGCAGCTCTGGCAAGCTCAGCCCTCACCCTCTCCTGGGCCACAGTACCAGTTTTTCCTGTTCTTGGTCCTCCCTCCCCTTGCTCTGCTGCTTCACTGCTTCAAGCACTTGTTTTCCACGCGAGCTGGGTTATTTTTCTGTGCAGTTTAGCAGCCCCAGGTCGGTGCCATACGTTTATACCAGCACCACGATATTTTTTTTTTCAGCTCCCCCCACCAAATCCATCCATTCCCACATAGACATCACGCAAAACTACGTGTCGGGGCTGCTTTCTTTTTAATTGCGGAAGAGAAGAAATGAAGCAGCCCGAAAGGTCAGAGCAGGCTCCCAGCTAGGAGCAGCTTGGAGGAAGTTGAGGAATTTTGGCCCTCCGTGCTCTGACATTCCGGGGGAGGCAGCTCCGCTCGCCAGCCCGCCGAGGCTCCGCAGATGCTGGGGCTTTGCGTCGCTCCATGGAGCTGCTGAAACCCTCTTGACGGGGCCGCTGGCCTCGCCTTGCAAAGGGATGGAGGACATGGGCTTTTAATGGGGCTTTTTTATCACTTTGTGCTCAAGGTTGTGGTTTTGACCCGGTTGGTTTCCGTGTGTTGATAGACGGGAGGTGCTGTAGCTGTTAAATATTGCACCTCTCAGTTGGAGTGTTTAATCATGACAGGGCTGGCTTGGTCCGCAGCAGCCCTTTTGAATGGCAGCCTTTCAAAATCTGATGCTTTTCTGGTGTTTGGGGCCTTGAGAAGTTTATAAAAAATCAATGAGAGAAGAAAACAGCCCTGCTGAAGGGGGAGCAGCTCTCGAGCTGCCTTGCAGGGTTGGAATCTCTTGCTTGATTGGGAATATGTGTTCACTAACAGTAAAATCAGGCCTCTTTAATATATAGGGTCTTCTCTAGTATAAAGGTCTCTGGGCTCGGAATGTGCAGGGGATTGGCAGCTGAAGCAGGGGGATGATTAGGCTGCTAACGTGTAAATCGATCGCATCTGTGGGAAGAAGTGACTGCAGGTGGAAGATAAGAGCAGGTCATGGACCCCGAGTGTCCAGCGCTTCCAGGGAATCCCAAGCAGAAGCAGAGCAGCCCGGTAATGCTATCCATGCACATGATCCTGCGGGATATTTAGCAGCAGTTAGGACACTGAGGGATAATATGGGATCTGCTTATCCTGAGACAAATGTGTGCATTAAATTGTGTGCTTTACCTCCCTTCTCTATGGAAAAAGGGGAAAAAAAAGACTAAGAGTCCCTGAGCATAGAGGTTTTTATTCATCGTGCTGATAATAGGAGCTAAATAAAGGCTTCAGGGAAAAAAAAAAGATGTTTCTCTTGCCATATTGGTTGGGCAGAGCTGTAGTGGAGCTAAATACGGAATGGGAAGTCTGGCCTTCTTGCCAGTTCTCCCTATTTTTAGAGCTGCTGCGCCGTCTTGGTGAGTTTTCTCAAYATATGCCCTGGAAGCTGCAATCTGCCTCTGGCCCGCTGTTGTATTCGGGATGATAAAGCTGTGGGATGGAGGAGCAGGGAGTGACCAGATGTGACAAGAGGTTTCTCTGAGCACCAGGATGCAGCTCCTGGCCCAGGACAAGCTGCACTGTGGTCACAGTGGAAGCAGGATCGGGATTACCTGAGCGGGAATTTAGCCAAGAGATCGTGGCCAAATGAGCAGGGAAGCAGAAGTGGTTGCCCTTTCCTGCAACCCCCCYGCCAAGAAAGCATAGAAGGCAACATCCCAGCCCTAGCCTTGGATATCTACCTCCATGGTGTGGGTGGGACAGGTTTTTTGGGAAGTTCCTCAAAGCAAGGATGCAGGTTTGGAGTGTGGAGCACRATTCTGGGCTCTCTAGCACCCAGAAAAGGGCAGGGAAAGGAAAGGGAAGGGAAAATTCTCTCCAGTGCATTTCTCAGAAGAGGCTTCGTGTGCATCCGCAGGGCTGTGGACCTTTCCCTGGCACCTGCGTGTCCTTGGGGTGGGTACTGACCAGTGCTGGCTCCGTATGAYGAGGGACTCTCAAGCTACAAATCGCAGCTTTCCAAGCACTAACCTCCCTTTGGGCTTGTTTTGGACGTTAGGAATTTTGTCCGATAAGAGAACTTCGTTTGCCTTTGAATACGGCTTTCTGACAGCATGATGGAATGGGGGATTCTTGGAGCACGCCCGTGCCAGCCCGGGAAGGGAAATTCTGATGGAGCTTTTGTTGCTCTCTAGGGCTGACATTTTAGCTCTTTAAAGAGTACATTTATTTTGTTCTTGGCAAGGAGGTGTGTGTGCAACGCTGGTGTCCAGACGAGTGGGAGCAGCACCCGTTCCAGCTGTGCTGAAGCCAAGAGGGTCTCCTGGGCTCCCAACACTGGGGCACCTGGAGCAAGGAACCGGGCCAGGGCTTTTCTGCCAGTGACTACAAAACCGAGGGCCCTTGGGTGAAGCAGAGGATGTGGAGATGCCGTAGAGAAGGGTTTAGTGATGCTGTGAGCAAGGTGCAAGGGGATGCATCACAGCGGGCTCTGCAGAGCATGGGCTCCTTCGGTTGCACTGGGTACCGCTGCGGTATTCCTGAAGCCTTGTGCACCCAACTGACTCCACGTTCCTCTCTTCCAGCTCTTCCACGTGGCCTACGTCCTCATCAAATTTGCCAATTCTCCCCGTCCTGACCTCTGGGTGCTGGAGCGGTCCACCGACTTCGGCCTCACCTACGAGCCCTGGCAGTATTTCGCCTGTAAGTAGAGCTGGTCAAGCTGTGAGCTTAAAGCCAAAACTACAGGGCAGGCTTCTCTTGCAGGTGGTTGCACGGTGTCTGTAGTGTCCACTGTCACCTTTTGTCACTGAATCATTCACTGCAGTGTGGCCTTTGGGGGGGATTTCTGACTATTCTCGTAGTGGCTTCCTGCCTTCTGAGCAGGCTTGGAGAGGAGGACATATATATTAGCCATGAGAGAATGAGTGATGCAAGGCAACATATATCTAATGAATGCTTAACATGGAGCACATAACCTTGTCTCCAACTGGCGAGCATGGGGAAATCCGGGGCTCCGAATTGCTCTCCTCTCACTGCCCTGCTCCCTGGTTGCTGAACAGCCTCCAAGCGGGACTGCATAGAGAAGTTCGGGCTGCACACGGTGGACCGCATCGCCAAGGACGACCATGCCATCTGCACCACCGAGTACTCCCGCATCGTGCCGCTGGAAAACGGGGAGGTGAGCAGCTGGCTGGCRCTCCCTGAATTTCTGTGTCTGGGAAAAACCTGGGGAGACCACTGGGCTCCTCAGGATAAAGATTCCCAATATGTCAGCGTTGATCGCTGCTTCCTTGCGTGGATGAAGAAAGGCCTTTGTCCCTCTGGAACAGGAGTCTGGGTGGGATGCAGAGGTGGACACTGATGTCCATTCATGGAAGCGGCGTGGAAATGTTACCTGCTTCCTCCTGTGCCTAAGTCCACAATGATAAATGGTCCCRGGATGCGGCAGTCGGCAGCATCCGTTGCCGGTTGTGCTCCCAGTGGGAATCATGGAAATTCTTCCACCCATGGCACATGACTGCCCTGGCAGCCTGGGAAGGGTCGGCRGCCACGGGCATTTCTCTGCACAAAGCACAGGTCCAACAGGAAGCTTTTGAGGATGACAGCAAGGAGGAGAGGAAAATGGAAAGGCCACAAAGACCAAAAATTGGCAGTCAGGCRCTGCTAAAGCCAAATCCTTTCTCCTCTGTTAGATAAAACCCRTAGGCAGATCGGTGCCAGTGTTTGCCCTAGACAGGAGTGCCCAAGGGGACTGAGCAGCCTTGATGTGAGCCATGGCTTGGCATGAGGGAGAGCTGTGCTTAATGCCAAAATTGTGCGTAGGGATTAGCTCTCTGGAGCTGATTTCTTTGGCAGTCATTTAGGGGTGCAAAAAAGATAACAGAATTCTGCTTTTGTTTTCTCAGTGCCTGCACATGCTCTTAGTAATTGGTTCCTTCTTTTGGATGTGAGTTAAGCTACACAGTTGCAGCAGAAGGGGGCCGGGTTTGGGTTTAGCTGAGGGAGAAATTAATTTCTTCTCCTTTCAAAGGATCACACTGATTTCTATGTTTGTTTTTTCCCCTCCTTGCACTCACAGATTGTTGTGTCACTGGTAAATGGGCGTCCAGGGGCCATGAACTTCTCCTATTCTCCTCTCCTGCGGAACTTCACCAAAGCCACCAATATCAGGCTGCGCTTCCTGCAGACCAACACCCTACTGGGGCATCTGATGGGAAAAGCTTTACGGGACCCCACGGTGACCAGGAGGGTAAGGCAGCCCTTGGAACCTCTTGTTATGGGGATGGAAGGATTTGAGGGCAGTGCATGCSTTCTCCAGGGGAGAAGACGTCCCTGGGGTTTGCTTTGGGGTTTCTCCCTTGTACTCTTGCTTTGGCCAAGGTGGAGACACCTGCAGCAGACGCTGCTGCTGGAGTCTCCTGCCTTGAGCACTTGGGAAAAAGCCGTGCTTGGAGTCAGCAAAAGAGCTGAGAAACATCTGCTGGGGTTGCCCCTGGCTTTTTGGCAGTGTTGGGAGTCCYAGCTCGTAGCTAGTGTCCTCTCTGGCCAGTGGCAGGTGTTGCTCTAGGCAGAGATTGCAGCCACCGTTGCCTCTAGTGAGGCTGAGTTTGCCAACATGGGGAGACTCGTTTTAGCAAATAAAGCCCTATTGAGTCCCAAGTAAGACAGTTTTTCATGGTCTGTGCGCATGCAGGTGGAAGCACCTGTGAAATTTGTTCATAACCATATTCATGGCCAACTTTTCTTGTGGTGTCCAGTATTACTACAGCATCAAAGACATCAGCATTGGAGGGCGCTGTGTCTGCCACGGCCACGCAGACGTCTGTGATGCCAAAGACCCTAGTGATCCTTACAGGTAGGTTTTTCCAGAGGCACAGATCTGTGTAAAGTCATTGAAATTGTTGTGCTAAGAATGGAAAATGCCAGAGAGAGTTGTGCCCAGTCCTGCGCTCTCTGTTGTGCCAGCACAGTTGTTCTGTTGAGCACAGTTGAGTCTGTCCAGAGAACTAGCAACTGGGCCAGCCAAAACAGCAAAACCACAACATTTTTGTTGCGTTATTTTGCAGGCAGATCAGTTGCCTGGTCTGGGTTTCTGTCCTGTCCACAGCTTTGCCATCCCTGTGGGGTTGCTGTTCTGAAATGGGAGGGTGGGTTTGCAAAGCTGTTACCATTGATGAGCATGGAGCTCTCGCTCAGCTTCCCTGAGAAATCTTATGCTCCACATGTGGCTTCCTAAGAATTGGGACAGTAATTTCATAAATAGATATTTTGCCTCCAAAACAAAGTTCTGCTGTCTGATTCTACTCACAAGAACGCTACACTTGCCGGTGTATGTAATGAAACAAATACTCTTTGCAAAAGAACAAGAGCGTGCAGAGCAGTTAGGTTTTGGCTCGTGGGACTCCTCCCGCCAGCCTTAGCTACTTGAAATGCCAAAGAGCTGCTTCAAACCATGAAAGTGTTGCTGCTTAGCCATCTGTTTGCAGCCTGAATGTTGCCTTTATAAATGGGATGAGTAGATTCAGCAGGACCAAGCTTATATTTCTTCCTCGTAGGGATCACGTAGAGCTTTTGGATCTTGTAAAATAAAATTCCAGTGAGTCCTAGCCAAGATTAAAAGCTGCTAAGTGTTAAAACAAAGACGTATTGAAATGCAAGTCTGCGTCAGTGTGCTTAACTCCCTGACAAAGGCGAGTTCATAAATATTTGAATGTATCGTTCCTTAGTTTTGTTTTAGACGTTGGTGTTGCTGGATGCACAGTACACTAGCGTGGAGAACAGAAGGTCCTCGTGGTGCAAAATGATTTTTAACACAGAAATGTCCTGGCATTTCTTGGGTATATTGATAGCTCAGGATGCTCTAGGAAGGGAGGGAAAACTGAGGAAAGATAGATGAGCTGGGAGTCGTGTTCGGTGCCAGTTCTGCGGATGATTCTTTGCCTCCCTGAATCTCCCTCGTCCTTTCATTTGGATGTGTTTGGTGTCTCCGCTGTGGGTCGGCAACAGCTGCTGCATTTCACGCCGAGCACATTGCACTTGCCTAGAGGAGAAAACATTTCCTACTTGGGTGCTTTGGACAGGGAGCACGAAACATCTGCAGGGCCCTTTGGGTTACCTCCGGACAAGGAAGCTGGGTGAGGAGAGGAACATCTCCTGGCATCGCCGTGACCCATTTGTAAGCCCAGAGTGCAAAGACAACAGCAGGAGRGTGATACCAGGGGACCAGCCAGGAGTAGCTATAACAGATTGTTTCCAAAAAGATGCAGGGAGGAGATGGGATTTGAGCTCTTCTTGCATCTCCCCCAGCCATAGTCTTGAGGAGGTGCTGTGACYGGGTGGGAGGAAGTGAAATTCCTCTTGCCTTTCAACTGAGAAAACAAGGAATGAGTGGGAATGCTGCTAATTCCTCAAGGCCACGGGGCAGCTGTTTGCAGCCTCCTGGCTGGAGTGGGCATCTCTCAGGAGGTTCTTTCTCCTCCTTGCTCTTTCATAAATCTGTGCAACCCGCTGGAGAAGCAGGAGCAGTGAGCCCAGGTCAGGCTCTTGACAGCATCAAGGCAAGGAGGTGCAAACAGAAGGGGACTCCAAGTCCATCTCTGCTGTCCCTATTAGAAATCCTGATGATGTCTTGGCAAATCTGGCAGGCTCCTGCGCCCCGTTTTAACTTCCCTGCTCTGCACGTGCCTGTGTTTCTTGTGCCTCTTGCCCAGAAAGACGGGAGGAACGTGCTGGGAGRCGTTAGGACACGATGGAGCGTGTTTCATGAGCTGACTTCCTGGCCATAAATGAAAATGTTTATTCAATGTAGGGAAACGTCTCTGAAGCGCCAAGATACRGCAGCTGCGCTCTCAGCCGGGCTAAGCTGGCAACAGGTCTTGTCCCGGTGCTGGGGCTTGGGAATGGGGCAGAGGCGGCTCCCTAAGGACAGTCGGCACTTTTGAGGGCTGCCCCCATTAGCAGCACGATGGACTGGGCTGAATTTAGGTGAGGAAAGGGAAGATCCACTCGTTAAAGTGGAGCAGCAGCRGGATGAGACACAAACCTTCCTCCTGGCAAACCAGGCATGCATGGAGATGAGCCCCAGCAAATCTGTTTTGCAGGTGGTTTTCCCTCAGTACCATCAGGAACTACTAAAAAAAGGGTTTTTTTCCTGCCCAAGTCCCTTCTGTCCCAGCCAAACACAGATGCTGGTCACCTCGTGAGCTGCTCRCTGGAAACCATCCGTGCTGCACGCTGCAAAACATCGGTTTCAGGAGAGAAGCTCAAGTTTTATGTTCAATGCACGATGAGCAGGAAATATGTGTGTTCTGTGCACGTAGCTGCTCCCTCTTCTTCCTTGTATATATTCAATCAATGAAACATGTAAATATTGTAGCTTGTGCACGTTTGCCCATAATTCATTAGCAGGATAGGCTGGGCACAAGGTGCAGGAAAGCAGTCGTGAGGGATGAGCTGTCCGAGAGGTCACTGCCGACTCGGAACRGCGGAGACTAAATAAATAGCTCCTTCTCCATTTGAAAAGCGTATTTTTACTCACCAAGTGCCATCTTTTCTGTGTTCTGGGAACCGGACCAAGGCTTTCCAAACATCTCGATGGCCACAAAGCCGGGCTGCGTGGCTGGAGCCGCATCCTCGAGCTAGTGGTGCTGCTCAGCAGGTTTACACATTCCCACGCTCGGTGCTCGTCCTGCTCCACGTGTATTTGTACACAGTTTAGTCTTTACCTCGGACTGCTGCTGTGAGAAACGTAAGAACATGTTGTTTCTTTGGAAGCAGTCAGCCAGGGAGGGGGTCTGTGGAGAGCTTCGGGATGAAGCGTGGCTGGATGTTATCCTGCTCCCTCTTGGGTCTGCACAGCATCATGAGGACAAAGTTCCTGGTGCATGTGCACGTTCCAGGGCCTGTTTCTGCAACGTAGGCTCTGAGCAAGCCTCTGGGGCTCAGCTTGGCCTGGGGACACGATGGGGACAGGGCMTGAGGAGGGCGCAGAGAGGCAGCTGCAACGAGCGTTTGGTGGAGCCTGCAAGAAGAGGACACSGGCCAAGGCTACGTGGACCTCCTGTGCGTTCAGCCCAGGTTCCCATGGATTACCTCATGAAAATGAGTTAATTTCTGCCATGCYGCCAGCTCTGCATGACTGCTGACAATATACATGCCCATGGGTCCCACATGTTGAAGATACACCCAGGTGGAAGCGCCCAGCAGCGGCAGCTCGTCCCAGCGGGGAGGAATGCGCGCGTTGTTGCTTCCCGCTCGGCATGACTGCTTCGTTTGTTCCTAGCGTTGTAAGAAATTACAGTTATTTTTAAATGCTGTGTTTGAATGGAGGAGCCTCTGGAGAGCTGGGAGTGGCAGGCCTGCCCTCGGGGCAGTGAGTAATTGCACGGATAAAAGCTGGAACACGCTGTATTAGCCATAAGTCTAAGACAACAGAAAGCGTTTGTGTTGGACRGGGAATCGTCTCCTGCTCCGTGGAAGTTCGGGAGTGATGTCAGCGACGTTAATGAATTAGGTGGCGGGCGAGCAGGGATGGGAGCCCTGGCGGCTCCAGAGCTGCCTGTTTATCAGCAGAGCCCTTATGTGAGCCAAGAAGGCAAGAGGGGCATTTTGCAGAGACGCTGGGGCAAGTGCTAATGTTACGCTCAGAATTCTGTCTAAATTCACCCTTCGTGGCCTTGTTCGTTTTTGGAAGCATAKGTGCACATGGAGGGTCAGGTATGACCCGTGCAGCCCCATCCAGGTCCAGCTTCTATTCCTCCTGTGCTGTCCTTGCCAGGCTCCGGGACCATCTCCTCTCCACCTGCATCCAGCCTGTATCCTGTCTTCCAATAATTTACTGGGTTCAGGTTTCTCCTGCTGCCCCTCAGGCCATTTCATGCTTCTCTTGTCTGTGGAGCTCGCTGGACCTGGGCATAATTTTCTTCCTTTTTCTTGCCTCCTTGTGAAGAAAGGAAGGACAAAGCAGGAGAAAAACCAGAAAGGGAGGGAATGGCCCCAGTAGATGAAGACTTGGGGTTTAGCTCGTAGCAAAAGTGCAAACTTCAGGTGCCCCAATGTGCCTTTTGTGCCCGCAGGCTGCAGTGCGACTGCCAGCACAACACGTGCGGCGGCTCCTGCGACCGCTGCTGCCCGGGCTTCAACCAGTTCCCCTGGAAGCCGGCGACCGCCGACAGCGCCAACGAGTGCCAGCGTAAGTTGGTGGGCGCTCCAGTTGCCTTTTCCTCCTTTTCCCGGCTGTTTTGCAGGCGGGAGCAAAGCACGGATGCAGGATTCCCGCGGGCAGGTCCGGTTGCTCAATTCCGCCTCCAAGCTGAATGGCGTTTGGATCTGTTTGCACACAGGACATCTTTATTTGTCTAACAAACCCCTTTGCTTGATGCTGGTGCTGGAATTCATGCCACACTGGGAATGCAAAGCATGGAGCATAATTACATCACTTGATCTGTTGGAAACATGGAGCTGCAAAGGATCGTTGGGTCTTATTGCTGTAGGTTTCCAAAGAACTTCCCAACTGTCCTCCATCCCTGATGGAGTAAAAGCAGATACAGTCGGGAATGTTGCCCTCTACCAAACCACTTGAGGCCCCAAATTGTGTAATTTCTGTCGTGTCTCTACATGCCTGTACATATTTTACTCCTGGGCTTGTGCCTACTTCACTTTTTGATTTGCAGACCTTGTGAAAGAGTCTGTTCCTGCAGATAAGCTTGAGYTTCGTTCCTTATGGAAATGTAACCCGTACGGGATGAAACCCATGAGCAAAGACCTCATGTTGAGCCCGGGCTGGTGGCAGGAGGATCTCTGTGGAGCAGTGGCTTAACTAATGTCTATTTTCAGCTTGCAATTGCAACGGCCATGCCTACGACTGCTACTACGACCCCGAGGTGGATCGCCACAAAGCCAGCAAGAGTCGGGAAGACAAGTTTGAAGGGGGAGGTGTTTGCATCGACTGCCAGGTAGGTGAGAAGGTGCACGATAGAAAAAGCTGTTGCAGATCCTTGCGTTCGTTTCTGCTGTCAACCTGGAGCGCTGCCTTCCTTGCAAAATTCCTCAGCCCCCCACACTCGCTTATCTTAATTAGGTATCCTGGAAAATTGGGCTGTTGGCAACGGATTAAAGGCATGTGTGCTGGTAATGGGAAAGCACTGGAGGTCCTGGCYGTCCCTCTGTGAGCGTAACATTGCCTTTCTAACGCTTCCCAGGGAGGTCTTCCGAGGCACCGGTTTGCATGTGCTTCTCCCAGGATCCGGGGGAGTTCGGTCTTTTTGCTCCGTAGGGAACAGCGAWGCTGACGCTGCACGCATTGGAGAGTGTGCGCTGCGCTGCCCAAGCACCAAAACACTGACCTCAGCCCTGAGGTTCCCAGCAGAAGTTGCCCGTAGAATAGTCTGGCAGCTCTTCTGCTGCCAGGGGGACACTGGGCTGATTCACGCTGGGGCAGGAACCCGACCTGGCTTTTGGTTCTGCAGCCTTGCTCTGAGGAAGGGGGTCGCTCTGGCCCTCGCAGCACCAAGCGCTCGGGGCTGCGTTACCATCTGAAGCGAGCAGGGTGGGCGCAAGGTCAGATGTGAACCTGAAACGTGTGCTGGGCTTATGGGAGGATGCACAGTTTGGAAAAAAGAAACAGCACTTTGCTTTCCAATTGGAATTTGTGGAATTTCGAGCAGATTTGGGTCTTCCGTGTACTGATGCTCCTGAGTTGCTTCCTCTTGACCCTGAAGCTGCCAGCAAATCTGGCAGTTGGACCTGAATCCCCTCCTGGAGGAGCTCCTGCCCTTCTAACTGTGTCTTTCAGCATCACACGACGGGCATCAACTGTGAGCGCTGCATCCCCGGCTACTACCGCTCCCCCGACCACCCCATCGACTCCCCGTACATCTGCTACCGTGAGTGTGGTTCGCGCTGCAGGTCCTGGGTGCTGTCCTGGATCCTGTGGCCCTGGGCAGGGGGGTCTGCAGTGTGAGGCTGGGACATTTTCTGATGTAACGGGCCAGCAGCACCGTGACCAACGTGGCCACGTGGGAACCCGGTTCCTGACGCAGCTGATGCTGTGGAAATGCGAGCGTGCACGCAGCACAGCGTGGGTGTCCGCAGCAGCCTTGGAATCAGAAGTGGCTGCGCATCCCACAGTTGGAATGAGCTAAGAATGTGCCGTTGACCCAGCTGCGCCTGCAGAGAAGCCCAGGCTTGGCCACCATCTGCGCTTGCTTTCAGCTGGCAGGAGCAGCCGGTGGCTCTCCGGGCAGGAGAGAGGCATTTCCAGGCAGCCGTCTGGCTGGGGACGTTGGCTTTCTCTGCCCGTTGTGGAATGTTGCCTCTTCCGCACCACTTGGAGCAGCAGTGCTGTCTCCCCAGGTCATTTCTGGAGAAGTGAGCTGGGTTTGTGCTGCTTTCCTTGAGCACCCTCTGTGTAATGAGGACCAYGGCAGCAATGCCCCTTAGCCAGAGCCCTCTCGAAGGGACAATCCTACCTTTTATTTTCAGAGAGGACTTGCAGTGGACTCACGAGGGCCCTTTGGCTGCAGTGATGTCCCCCCATGCTGCCTGCGGCTGCYGGGGGTCTCTGCTGACCGTGTTGTCCTTCTCCCCCTCCTCAGGCTGCAACTGTGAGTCCGACTTCACGGACGGCACCTGCGAGGACCTCACGGGGCGCTGCTACTGCAAGCCCAACTACACCGGGGAGCTCTGCGACGCCTGCGCCGAGGGCTACCTCGACTTCCCGCACTGCTACCGTGAGTGCCAGCGCGGGCAGCCAGGTCCAACCCCTCCGGATCCGCTTCCCGGCATCTTTCTGCATTGCTGCATTCCCTTGTCCTCACCCACGCCCCRCGGGCAAGCTCCTGCTTGGCTCCAATGGAGCCTGGAGCGGTGCAGAGCTGGGATGAATGTGGCTCTTGGGAGCCAGGGGACAGTTCTCCACTTGAATGAAGGCTCCTCCTTYGCTTTTGGTGTAGAAGGAAAGAGATCCCTGCAGAGCCCAAGGGGAGGCTAGAAAAGGCTCTGTATAAATGGGGGTTGGTGGGCTGTCTGCACGTTGTTCTCATGGTGCACACTTCTCTTCAGTGTTGGGACCATCAACTCACTGGTACACCAGAAAGGGTCTCTCTGAGCATGTATGCCATGGCTCCATGCAATCTCTTTTTCTCCATGTAGCTATTCCAGCTTTTGCTGACAACGATACCGGCGAACAAGTGCTCCCTGCAGGACAGATAATAAGTAAGCAATGCGATTTTACCCGCTGCTCTGGGGGTGCAGGTGTCGGGTCCCACCGCACTTGCCCACTCCATTGCTCTCAGTTCTCTCCCTTGCCCTCCTGCCTGCTTCCTTTCACATCCTCACCCTTCCCAGTCCTTCCCTTCCCCWGTCTTCTCTTGCCTCTGTTCCAACCACATTCTTCCTTGTGAACTCCTGCTTCCCAGTGCACTCCAGATAACCTTTTCCTTCCTGCTGATATTTTAAGCTCCATATCTTCCAGGCAGGTTTTTCCTTCCTGAACTGGAATTTCCTACATCCCTTCCTCCATCACTTGGACAGCTCCAGCACTTCCACCCCATTCCTGCCCCCCAGCCCTTGCCATGCCCTCATCGCCACCCCTTCCCCATCCGGGTGGGAATACAGTGCTGGAGCGGGGCTGTCATTCCCGGGCTTCCCGAGGTGTCCTGTTTTCTTCCGTGCAGACTGTGACTGCTACGCGGGTGGCACGGAGGGCAACGCGTGCCGCAAGGACCCTCGCGTGGGCGCCTGCGTGTGCAAGCCCAACTTCCAGGGCGCCCAGTGCGACCAGTGCGCGCCGGGACACTACGGAGCCAGCTGCCAGCGTGAGTGCCCGCTCCCCGCCGCGGGAATTCCCTGCCTTCTGAGGGACAAATTCCCATGGCTTCTGCTGGTATTTCCCACCCAGCCCTGTCCCCCTTGGCCTCGGGTCTTTCTTGAGGCATTCCCTATGGATGTGAGCTCCGGGCGGGATGTGCTGCTTCCCAGCACTGCTCCACGGCTTGCGTTTCCCGAGGCTGGTTCTGAAGGTCCTCRTTGCTTTGCAGCGTGCCAGTGCTCCGGGCCCGGTCAGTACGATGGCAGCTGTGACAGCGAGAGCGGGCAGTGCCTGTGCCGGAGCGGCTTCGAAGGACACACGTGCAACCAGTGCGCCCCCGGCTACTTCAACTACCCGCTGTGCCAGCGTGCGTATGGGCCCGGGCACCCGCGTGCGCGCTCCCCACGGGCGCCAATGCGAACACCGACCTCAAGAGGCACCAGAGCTTTGGTGCCAGGTGGTGGCAAACACCATAGGGACAATCTGTGCCCTGCTTATGGTCACTCTAGGGGGCAAGAGACATGAGAACRTGAGCATGTGGTGGTGGTGGCGGTCAGCGTGGCAGGAGCCGTCGGCCTCTGCTGCGTTGGGGTGGATGTCCCAGCAAAGCCAGAGACTTTTGGGGGTGGTTTTGGGGGTGGTTTGGAGGGCAGCGCGGGGGCGCTGAGGCCTCTCTCCGCCGCAGTGTGCAGCTGCAGCGCCGTGGGGACGCTGCCGGGCGGCTGCGACGGCGCCGGGAGGTGTTTCTGCAAGGCGGAGTTCGCGGGACCTCGCTGCGACCGCTGCAGCCCCGGCCACCACTCGTACCCGCACTGCTACGGTGAGGACGGCGGCACGCGCAGCCTGGCAGCCAGCTCCATAACAGCTCAAACGTCTCAAATTAATAGCTCAAACGGCTCAAATTTTGAGTTATCCATGTGACATATCTGAATATTGATCCTCATTAATCCCGCTGCTCCGTCACCTTCTGAAAACCAGGCCTATTTTGGAAAGACACTGGCATTTTGCAAAACCCAGACCCATGGGATTTGTCCTGTAAATCTGGTCGGTTGGCTGGTGGAGGTGGTGGGCGATGCCAAAACCGGGGGTACAAGGTGGTTTTTATGCCATGATCTGTTGTCCCCACTCCTACCCTTTGTCGGTTCAGTGTTAACTCCCCGGGTGCTTTGAATGGGCTGTATGAAGCAAATCCACGGAGTGTTTTTGTGGTGTGGCAACAACTCTAGATGAGAGTGTGCCCCGTGCCTGTGACAGGTTGAATCATAGAATGGTTGAGGTTGGGAGGGACCTCTAGAGATCACATAGTCCAACCCCCCTGCTCCAGCGGGGACACCCAGAGCACGGGGCACAGGGTGGCATCCAGGCAGGTTTGAAGACCTYCAGAGAAGGAGAATCCACAACCTGCATTGGAAACAGGCCGAGCCTTGGCTCGCGGGGTCTCTCTGACCACCACTGCCTCCTCCTCTCCTCAGCCTGCTCCTGCGACGCCCGCGGYGCGGCCGACAACGACTGCAGCCCCGCGGGGCAGTGCCGCTGCCACGCGAATTTCGGGGGACCCACCTGCAGCCAGTGCGCCCTGGGCTTCTACGGGTTCCCCAGCTGCATGCGTGAGTACGGCCCCGCGAGGGGCCCTGGGGACAAGTAACCTGGCTGTGCTGCTCCTGGCCTTTGTAATGGTTTTCCTTTCCATGATCCGGCTCCAAAGAGCACTGTGCTCTTTGCACAGCACCCGGGATTTGAGGAGCTTGCTGACCTTTCATGCCAGAGGTTGCAGGATCTGCATGTGCCAAAGCCTTTCTTGGCTTCTGCTCTCAAGCACCAGCAATCCCTGAGATCCAGGCTCCTGAAATCCTGGATGCACTTGCATCCACAGTACAGAACTGAACGCTGCTCCTACGTGTTTGGGTGTAAATGGCCTTTCACAGGAGCTCACCAACATTTTGAGGATCTGATAGTGCATTCTCCTTTCCTTAACCCCATAGCTCCTTTTCCTCACTGAAACACACTTAAATACATAGGTGTGATGAGCGCTGTAGCCTCTATTATTTTGCCTAGTAGAGTGTTTTTAGCTGAAAGCAAAGAATGAGTGCRCGTGTTATTTTTCACCCGTTTTTCTGACTGCTTTGCTGGTGGCGAAGGTGAAGCAGACAGAAGAGCTTATTGGTGCAAAGCCTGGCACTCCCAGTCTCGTGCCCCTCAGCCACAGGGAGGTTCTGGTGGCACCTCGGGCGCSCTGGGCAGCGTCTTCGCTGCCGGCCGCCCCGTGCTGCTCGTGCTGCGTCCGCGGGAGGAGCGGGCTCCGCAGCGGGTGCTCTCCCGTTTGCAGCTTGCCAGTGCTCCAGGGAAGGCTCCCTGCACGGCGCRTGCGACCAGGACACGGGGCAGTGCAGCTGCCGGCCGCAGGTGACGGGGCTGCGCTGCGACGCCTGCGTGCCGGGCGCCTACGGCTTCCCGCACTGCCAAGGTAGCCGCTCGCGGCGTGGCCGGGGCCGCCCGGCAGCGCTAGCCGGGGGAGCAGTGATCTCCCCCTGAGCCTCCCCTTGCTCCTTTGCTTTGCAGTGGGCTCCTGTAACCCCGCGGGGCTGGTGCCTGCAGACCCCTCGCTGGCGCCGGTGAGTATGGCCCTGGTTGGGATGTTCGCCCTCGCTCCGGCTCCGTGCCCACGTGTCCCCGCAGCTGGGCTGTCACAGCCCGTGTCGCGCTCACCCGCGCTCCCTGCTCAGGGCTCCTGTGCGTGTCGGGCGTACGTCGAAGGTCCAGCCTGCGACAGATGCCAGCCGCTCTACTGGAACCTGACTCCGGAGAACCCCTACGGYTGCACCAGTAAGGACATGTCATTTGTGTGGCTCTGGCACATCTCCCTCCTGCTGGAATGGGGCAAGACCCACACCCAAGCTAGTGGGCACCACCACTGTTGGCTGGAAGTGGCACTTGCCCTTCATTCCCCACCACGAGGGGACACATCAGAACTCCAATGGCCTGAGTAGCCCATGCCAAGGGAGGGAAAAGGCAGGAGTCTGGAGCTTTTTGCTTAAGATGTAGAGTTCAGGGTTCATGGAATGAGTTATGGCATTCCCAGCCCTCCCTTCGGACTTTGCATGCTTGGGTTTTCATGGAGAGATTAGCAAAAAGAAGTCAAATGCTTTTGGTAGTTGTGTCTGCAACAATAACTGTCCAAAATGAAAGCAGAGCCCTTGGGCAGTGCCACCCGCACTTCCTTTAATTCCTTGGCTCTTACTTTTCTTCTTCCCATCTCCAGGCTGCAACTGTGATACCCAGGGCACCATCAGTGGACTTGCAGAGTGTCGGCAGGTAGGTTTGCTCCAGACATCTCCAGGATCCGTCTGCATGGACTTCAACTCTGCCTTTCCCRACAGCTGCTGTAGAAGCCTGTCCTGACACTGAGCACTCGGAGCTTGCACCACAGTCTGGGCTTGCATGAGAACACAGGATTAAGACCTGTCATAAATTAGGCACCTAAATATTTCTGGGTCTGGCCCGGCATCCCTGGATTTCTGTTTGCGTGTGTTGGGTAACTGCACTTATCTAGTACTTTTCTGGCCCACCCACGCACAGGAAGCAGAGCAAGAAACTCAAAATGCTTCTCCAGTGTCCCAGACGAGGACCCAATAGCCAAAAAACATCTCGTCTGTGACCGAGGGAACAGGCTCTCCAACTGACCCCATGTCTGCTGTCTCCTAGGGCAATGGGCAGTGCTTCTGCAAACCCAACGTCTGCGGGCAGCTCTGCTCAACGTGCAGAGACGGATACTTCAAGAAGGACAACGCCAACTACTTTGGCTGCCAAGGTGAGCTGCCGTCGTGGTGTGCCGGGTCTGATGGAGGGGACCGTGAGAGATCCCTGGAGCAAGTGGCTGTGYCAGAACACAACTGGACGGCCGCTTTGCAGAGCAGGGGTGGGAGATGTCCTACCGCTTGCTTTTGGCCATACCGAGGCATAGAGCAGGAACGGGTCTTGCTGAGGATCTGAGAGGCCTCAATTTGCCCTTTTGCCACCACTGGGCACAGATCAGTCAGGCAAGGGGGAATGGAAGGATGCAGAAGTTGCCTCCTTAGATGCTGCTTGCTGCAGAAACTGGTGCATTTAACCGCTGGAACCACTTGCTCCTGCTGGAAGCAACAGGCCTGGCTGCACAGAGTTGGCTTCTCTCCTCCATGCCCTGGAGAAGAGAGGCAGGAGGAGCTCTGGCTGCTCCCAGGGTGGGAAGGGAGAGCAAGGTGGGTGCAGGGGGCCAGGGCTCGGAGCCTGGCCATGAGGGYTTGCAGGTTTCTGCTCCTCTCCGTGGCTGTCGGCCACCTGGAAATAGCTGGGTGCTGAGGTGGAGGAGAAGCCGATCCAAACGGGGCCGGGGCCAATATGAAAACGGATACAATGGAACAAAAATAGCGGCGGGACGCGCCTTTGATTAGCGCTATCGGGCGCTCGTTAGCGTGGCCGGAATGTAAACACGCGCTTCCTGCCCGCAGGCTGCCAGTGCGACGTCGGCGGCTCGCTGGGGCCGGCTTGCGAGGAGCGCTCCGGAGCCTGTCCCTGCAGGCAGGGCACCCGCGGACCCACGTGCACCCGGTGAGAGCCCGCGGCCACCGCGGCGATGCTCCGTGTCCCGCTCGCTCTGTCCTTGCGCCMGGGGTCTCATCTGCTGGGCCACAACCTCGTCAGTGTTGATCCCAGGGGTTTCCTCCTGTTCCCGGTGTCCCCAAGCACTCCTGAGGAGGTGACTGGTGCAGGGTGCTGTCCCCAGGTGGGACGTGTGGACATGTAGCCCGCAAGGATCACCACTCACATCAGAAAGCTGCAGGGGATGTTTGTGGGGAGAGGAGCCCTCCTGCCTGGSTAGCCCAGCAGTAATGGTGCTTCATCTCTTCCACAGACCTGCAAGGGATCATTATTTTCCTGACCTTCACCACTTGAAATTCGAGCTGGAAGAAGGCACCACGCCGGCCGGCCGGGCCGTGCGCTTTGGCTACAACCCGCTGGAGTTTGAGAACTTCAGCTGGCGCGGATACGCACAGATGTCTCCCATCCAGGTACGAGCGACGTCTCCGTTCCTGCGCCGGGGAGGATACGGATGGCCGCAGGGCTGACCTGCTTTTGGCACTCATCTTTCACCCCAAATGCTTCTCAAAGCCCCAAAGTTGCATGATGGCCAACATAAACAGCACGGTGTATATATAGCCTGTTTGYGCAGAGATTTCCTGTAGTGCTAGGGACAACATGGACTGATGAGAGGAAAGATCCTAAACTGGGAATTCCCTGACGTCCCAGTCCGTTTAGACAAAGGTAGCAGCTTGGTGATTGCTTACAGGGATGTCTATAAACACTGTCTCCAGGTCTGCTTGCGACCCTTTCATCTGCCTSTGCTCTTTCCTACCACTCTGCGTCATCTTCCCTCCCTTTAAAGTAGCTTCTTCTTGACTGCCATATTCAGCTTGACCCTGGTGTTAATGCTCTGCCCAGCCTCCTGCTGACAGATGATTTGTCATAAAGGTGGTTTACGCTACATTGGAGTTGTCTGAACCCCGGAGGTGACATTATTTCATCTATTTCCTCTTGGCGGGTTCTTCTTCTGCTTGGCCTCTACTCAAGTGTTGCTTTTGTGTCTGTGTGTCTGACTTGATCTCTGTGGTCTTGTCCTGTATGAGATGTTGCTTAYTCTGATACGTGCACTCTGTTTTCCTCACTTTTTTCATGCTTAGGAGAAATAACAGTGGGGAGAGATGTATTAGCTATTTCGCTTTGAATTTGTAGGCACTAACTAGGGAGACAATAGACACCTGTAGGCTCAAGAAGACCTCAGCCTTAAAGCTGAAGGATAAGCCTCAAGCCTATGTCCTTTGCTTTGCATCCAGTGCTGCCATTTGGGATAAAATAGGCCTTGACAGAAGGGCCAGCATGTGGCTTTAAAGCTCCTCTGTAGCTTGCTTTCTGCAAAGTCCTTCCCGTTTGCTCCAAGAAGATGCTGTGTAACCAGAGCTTGGAGGAACCTGGCCCTCACTGGGAATGTCCCTGGGCAACCCCTTGCTTTGTCCCCTAGGCAGGGAGGCATTTAGATGTGGTTGATATTGGTAGGATTAAAGCACGTGCTTGACTGATGCCCTGTGGCACCAGGGTGGGCAGAGGGTTGAGGCCCCCTGCAACAGCCCCCTCCCCACACACCCCACAATTAGCCATGCAAGCGCCGAGGGATGAGGCCAGAGGCTTGCAGCCTTCTCTGGAGGCACCTGGGCAGGACACAAAGGTAGGTGCAACATCAGGCTGCGACCAAGGGAAGGAGCTGCTCAAAACCTTCCCTACGGCGCAGACCGTGCCCAGCAMAGCCCACCCCAGTGCCGCACCACAGCCTCTCGCAGCTGCTGTGGGAGCCTTCCCATCCCGTCCTGCAGACAGGTCCCGCTCCGCTTCCCGCACGGGATCGTGCGCTGGGAGTGCCGCGCCGCCCTGTCCCCGCGCTGGGGCTGCTCGCTTGTCCCCTCCCGGCGCCCGGCGCTGATTGAAGGTGTGCTCTGCTTCCCCCCCTTTCTGTCTCCCACCAGCCCAAGGTAGTGGTGACTCTCAACGTGACGTCCCCCGACCTCTTCCGCGTCGTCTTCCGCTACGTCAGCCGGGGACCTGCCGCTGTGCACGGCAGGGTCTCGGTCCTCGAGGAAGGGAAGTTTAATGCGTGCGGCAACTGTGAGTGCGTTTCTCTTGCGTCTGGGCTAACTGGGCCCGGCTCGCGCTGCGTGGTGGTGCCCACGGCCGGGGAGGGAGAAGCTGGGCAGGCCGGAGATCCCGGGCTCCCCGCGGTGCCGTGCGCCCCGGGTGCTGCTCTGCTGCTTGCAGGATGAAGTCAGTCACTTCATCTTCATGTAAACGTGGTGGGGACGGAGCTCGGTCCGCTCCGTGGCTTCCTGGGGTGTATTAATTCAGGAAGGGCCAGTGTGTGTGGCAAAATGGCAGGTTATCAGCCCTGGAGGAGAGGGAAGGATTGCAGAGAGCTGCCATTCACCATTGCCACCTCCTCCCCATCCCACGCAGCCCTCCAGAGGACACTTCCAGGTGGCTTCATCCCCCAAGTCCTACTTGTGTCCTGCTGGAGGAGTGTCACTCGCTGCCCCACGCAGAATCCAGTCGAGTTTCCACAAAATCAGAAGGGGCCAAGTGCTGGGCAGTGGATCCAGGTGTAGGCAGCCAGACATGGTGGGATTTCTCGGGTCCCCACGCATGGCAGGGCTGCCCTTGGCCGGTGCTTCCCCCAGAGCAGCCCGCTGGCTTCACGAGGGTGCCGCCTTTGGAATTGCACAYGTCGTGCCAGCATTGCTCTCTGGTGGTTAGTTGCAATCACAGCACGAGCCACCAGAGAGGATGAAGAGCCAGAGCAGATAACTGAAGAAGCCTCGGGTCCTCTGCATGGAATATACTGGCAGCACGTGGGGCCGGGGCTGAGGCTGCCCACGGGCCCTGGTGCCCAGCTYACTCACTGGTTTCACCCCTCTGAGGTTGATAACGTGCCAAGTTTGCCATGCAAAGACACTGTTTGTCCCCCCAGGTACAGAGCAGACCAAGCAGATCGTCTTCGCTCCCAGCACCGAACCGGCCTTTGTCACCGTCCCCCAGAACAGCTTTGGGGAGCCCTTCGTGCTCAACCCCAGCACCTGGTCTCTGGTTGTTGAAGCAGAGGGTGTGCTGCTGGTGAGGACCGGTCTCCRTGCACCAAGGGGGACTGCAGCAGTGCCCCAGGAGCCCGTACCCCAACATAACATCCTCTCCCTTCTCCCCAAATAGGACTACCTGGTTTTGCTACCCAGCTCGTACTATGAAGCTCCAATACTGCAGCTGAAGGTCACAGAGCCGTGTACCTACCAGCCAGCCCCTGAAAGAGCCGCGCAGAAGTAAGGAACTCCATGTCTTTGTGCAGTGTGGGGAGCTGCTCAGGTCCTCTTGATCTGGGACTAATATGTTCAGCCCTCACTCTGTGAGATGKTGGGGCAGGTCTACCTCAGGTAACAATTGAATGGGCACCGGGACCTGGTTGGCTCTGGATGCAGTAAAGCTGCTTAATGGAGCATTTAGCCAGGGCTGATAATGACTGCTGAGCTTGGGCTGGTCCAGGAAGCCATGTCCACCTCTTTGACCCTAGCACAGGCAGACCGTGTGTTCTGCTCATGGCCAATGGAGAGCTGAAGCAACCAGGGACAGTGTAGGCTCTCCCCATGCTGGGAACTCCACTGTGCCTCAGTCTGCAACCCTGGAAAACTGCTAGCAGTGAGTTTACTAGCCTGTTTAAGGTGAACTTGCCGAGCCTGGTCAGTGCTTCCTGCCCTAGACCTCTACACTGATGTTGCTGGGAAGGCTGGAYGGGCTCTGGAGAGCATCTCCTCTCTACTGAGTGAGGATCTCTGGGATGAAGGGCAGCTCATTGCAAGGGGAGAATCTTTTCACTGTTATTGCCCTTTTTATAAGACACCACTTCTTACTCCATGCTAACCATGGGTGCTCCTTTGGAGTCCTTGTGTTCTCACTGGGCTGGCTCACGACCCCTGATTGATTGACCCCCCTACATTGATGATGTGAGGCCAGTGCTTGACAAATCATAGAATCACAGAATCATAGAATGCTTAAGGTTGGAAGGGACCTCAGAGGTCATCTTTCCCTGCTGCTTTAGCTGCCTCTTGTACAAGTACTTGTCAGTGGATGGCGTCCCTGCCGCGTCAGGAGAGGAGGCCGTGTGCAGGCTGGACAACCGGCTGCCCAGAGCGTGTCCCATGGAGCAGCTCAGCCCCTCTCACCCCCGCATGGCGACGTGCAGTGGAAGCGACGTGAGTAGCTCTTCTGGCAGGCTTTGCATCCCCACTTCCCCATCAGCCTGGGGACTGTGTGTTTGCGTGCTCTGCTGCTCGAGGCGCCCAAATTCACTCCCATGTGAAGGGTGTGGGCAACAATGAGGGTGCAAGAGCAGAGGGTGCAAGAGCAGAGGGCTGGGGGGCTGCTCCAGAGGAGCCTGGTTGGGAGCATGGGCACCCTACACGCTCTCGCTTTGGGGTCAGGGGCTGAGACCCCCTCTCAGTTGTGTCACTCTCTTCCAGGTGGAAGTCCAGCTCTCCCTGCCCGTTCCCCAGCCYGGGAAATACGTGCTGGTGGTGGAGTACGCCAACACCAACGCTCTGCAGACGGTGGGAGTCGCTGTGAGCTCGCCCCAGCTGGCCATGCAGCAGGGCACGTTCACCTTCTACCCGTGTGTCTACAGGTACGGCCAGCCCTGAGCAGGAGGCTGGGAGAAAGGACAGGGAAAACTGGGAGAGCCCCGGTTTAGGGCATGGCCAACAGAAGAGGTTTTTGGAGCTCTTGGTGCAGGTCAAATAGCCTGTCCCTCACTGCACAAGCATCTGATTTCAGATCACAACCTTTGCAATAGGAAACAAAGGTCTGGGCTGTCCTTGGGGGATTTCACTCTCCCGACTTGCCAGAAAAGGCATCAAAAGATACACAGGGACTTTGTATAAATCCCTTCAGGACACAGAGCTAGCAAGACAAGAAGTGGGTCATGGCCCTGCTCAAGGCTTAGCCTCAGGATCTGTTTCCATCTTGCAGTTTCCTGTGTCGAGGGATGGCTGTAGATTCCCAGGGYCGCCTGGCAACTTTTGAGCTTACCTCGGAGGCGACCGTTCGGTTCATGGCTGATCAGGCTGACTTCTTCCTGGTAAGGCTCCCTGCGAGGACAGCTCTGTTTGCACACTGCGAGAAGGAGAGGTAGGAGCWGTGTCGACCTTGGAGAAAAGCCTTGTGGTCCTCTTTAGGACGATGACTAGATCTACATCTATGCCATGAGCAAGGGGGAGACATTCACAGCGGTGTGTTCTGAGGTACATCATGGGACTGGGAATTGGGAGAGAACAGGAAAGAGAGGCTGCTCTTTGTAGATGAGCTTTGCAGCAGTGTGACGTTCAGCCTGAAGGTATTTGTGGCTGCTGAGCCCAGATTTTAGGGATCCCATGAAAAAGCAGAGTTCCTGGACCTCTGGGGGCTTACACCCTGGAGGAAGGGACAGCAAATGGGGATTTGACCTGGTGTGCAGTGCTGTGCCCGTCGTGGAGGATTGAGCTGATGCTCACAAGAGTCTCCCAAGGGKCTTGTGTACCCATAGCCTCATGCCCTTAGCTTCTCTCACAGTAATGTGTGGTGATGTAGCGTCAGCTCCTGACCTCTGCCAAGCCCCAAGTCTCTCCCTAGCTCCTAACAGGCTGTGGAACATCTGGTAAGGGAATGCCCAGCGTGYTCACCCTGATCGGTGGGGTGCAGGAGCTGCCAGTGGCAGGGGACGTGGTGTGACGAGGCCTCTCCTTCCTTCCCACGTCCAGCACAAGGTCTACCTCGTACCTGCTGCACAGTTCATCGTGGAGTTTGTGGAGCCAAAGGTGCATTGCATCAGCGTCCATGGCACCTTCTCCTCCAACAGGTAACAGGGTCTAGGGTCCCTCTGGATTATAGCATGAATGTGGCTGTTTCCAAAAGCAATTGTGTGCCCCAGTTCCCTCAAGTTTGGTGCTTCTGGGTTCTTGACACGGGAGAAGGAAAATTCAGCAGCTTCTGCCTTTCCTTATGGGAGATCCTGACGTCCCGTTTCCTCCTCCCCTGGCAGCAGTTCCTGCATCCCCTCGCGCTTCCTGAAGCTTTCCCAGTCGATCGTTCTGGAGGGAGGGCAGGCGCTGCCCATCAGCCCGGACACGCCGCTGGCGCAGGCGGTGCCCGTGGYGCCGGCCGCTGTCCCCGTGGAGCCCGCGCCACGGCCTCCCACCGCCGTGGACCCCTCGGCACAGCTCGTCCTCCTGCAGCCCCCGCAGGTAGCSACGGGGCGGCCCGTGGGCGGGAACGCGGGCACCAATAAAAATTATAATCAACAATATCCTGGGGGTGAATGGAGGTGTCCGATGAGGTTTCTTATGTCTCTGCTTTGGTGTTTGGGGCCAGGCTGCTGTTGTGTTTAGCAGTCGGATCCAGACGCTGGGGCGCTACGCCTTCATCCTGCATTACTACCAGCCCAACCACCCCACCTTCCCCGTGGAAGTGCTCGTCAATGGTGGACGTGTTTGGCAAGGTAAGAAGAGCTGGGTCCTGGGAGAAGTTTGTGCAAAAGGGGCCCCAGAAACCTTTGTCGTGCCAGGCAGTAGCTGCAGGCTCTGTGAGGAGTGTGAAAAACAAAATTTGCCCAACYCATCTCTTCCATCCCCACCAAGAGCGGAGGAAGAGGGTAGCAGGCTGAGACTGCCTTGCTCCAAGTTGTCAGGTGTCCTTCTCCTTTCTGTCCTTTTCAATCATTTTCAGTTTGGAAACCCTGAAGACAAGTCTGCTGTAGAGATGAACACCTCCACGTAGGCGCCTGCAGCTTGCTAACAGCAGAGTTGCTTTTCTTCACCAGTTACTGCAAGCGCCTTAAAAGCAGCCTAGGAGGCTCTCTGAGCTCTGCAGACTACTGGTTCCAAGCAGAAAAAGCCTAGGCCAGGGTCCTGGAAATGAGATTCCCCCGAGAGCAGGTGGATGGGGTGATGGGGCCTGCAAGGGAAATGGGGCTCCAAAGGGTTTGTTGTCTTTTCAGGGGAGACCAATGCAACCTTCTGCCCACATGGCTATGGGTGCCGGAGCCTGGTGGTTTCCGAAGACCAGATTGTCCTGGATGTGACCGACAACGACCTGATGGTGATTGTGCGAGTGCCAGAGGGGAAGCAGCTGTGGCTGGTGAGTCCTCCCCAGGAACTCTGCTTGTGGTGGAGCCCTGGAGGATTTTTGCTCCTGTTGGACCGTAGGAATGTCCATTGCTCAGTTTCTGYACTATCCTGTAAACCACAATCTTAAACCTTCTTCATGGTGCAGAACTGAGTGCAGAATTCACCAAGACAGGCTCTGTGTATGACACCTTTCCTTGGTGCTGTGTGGCTTCGATAGCAAAACAAGGTGGAAACTGAAGCTGTAGCTTCTGATAACCCCAAACAAACCTTCCTGCCCCAGGGAGCCTTGGTCCCTGTGCGGCATTGCTTGTCCAGGCATGTCCCATCACGGGAGCAGGGAGTCCTTGTCATCCTCAGCTCGGCACTGAAGGCTAGAAGGCTAAAAGGCAGCGCTGGAGCCCTGGTCACTTTGTAGCTAGGAATTTCATATCTCCATGCAGAAGCAGAGCCTCTGATGCCCCTTTAGGGTACTCTGTCCCTCTTGACCGCAGTGAATTTGGGCTGCTCTTCGCATGGGTTGTTAGAGTAGATGGAGCCTGATGGATAAATCCTAACAGAGGGATGGCTTGAGAATGTAAAGGTGCATTTAGCCTCCTGGGTGTGCTCAGTTCAGCTGGTGTTAGTCTGGCCTGGCTAAAGACCCTGGCTCATCCATCTTCTTATGGCAGGATTACATCCTTGTGGTGCCAGAAGAAAGCTACAGTTCTCAGTACCTGCAGGAGGAACCCTTGGACAAGTCCTACGACTTCATCAGCAGCTGTGGCATCAACAGCTTCTACATCAAGTGAGATYCTTGGCTTTGGGCTACCCTTTCTGCTCTCCACGGGCTGCCTGCTCCTCAGGAGGCAAGGGCAGCCCTTGTGCCCTTCTTGGGGCATGGCAGGCAGCAGGTGCGGGAAGAGCTAGTTGCTCCTTGTGGAAGTACCAAAGGCTGGGATGTTTGGAGATCTTGGCATGCTGAGCAATCCCCCTGCATCAATGCAATCGCTGCGGGAGGTGCTGCTGGCTTCGGCAGTGACCCCTCGCGCCTTCTCCTGCAGCCCCAGCACGGCGTCGAGGTTCTGCCGCGACTCGGCCACGTCGCTCTCACTCTTCTACAACAACGGGGCCCAGCCGTGCGGGTGCCACGAGGCCGGCGCGCGGGGCGGCCAGTGCGAGCCCTTCGGCGGGCAGTGTCCCTGCAAGCCCAACGTCATCGGGCGCCAGTGCTCCCGCTGCGCCACCGGCTACTGGGGCTTCCCCAACTGCAGGCGTGAGTTGTCCTGTCCCCAGCCCGCCCGTGGCCGTTCTGGCTCCGGATTTGGGGGGTGGATTTGGGAAAGGGCTGCGCTGCCCAGCCCTGCTTTCAGCTGGATGTGTGTCCAGCTGCGCTGAGCAGGGGGGAGAAGACAGCCCCGCTGCAGGGCTGAGCGCCTCTGTGCCCCTTGCAGCRTGCGACTGCGGCCCGCGGCTCTGCGACGAGGTGACGGGGCGGTGCATCTGCCCCCCGCACACGCTCAAGCCGGAGTGCGTGGTGTGCGAGCCCCAGACCTTCGGCTGCCACCCGCTCGTGGGCTGCGAGGACTGCAACTGCTCCCGGCCGGGCGTGCAGGAGCTGGCGGAGCCGGGCTGCGACGTGGACAGCGGGCAGTGCAGGTGAGCGGCGCCCAGGGAGCGGGGCCTGCATCCCTGGTCCCCAGCACCCACCTCCCTGGTCCCCAGCACCTGCATCCCTKGTCCCTGGTCCGCAGCACCCGCATCCCTGGTCCCCAGCACCTGCATCCCTTGTCCCCAGCACCCACCTGGTCCTCAGCACCTGTCTCCCTTGTCCTCAGCACCCATTTCCATTGTCCCTGGTCCCCAGCACCCTCCTCCTGGTCCCCAGCACCCTCCTCCTGGTCCTCAACACCTGCATCCCTGGTCCCCAGCACCTGCATCCCTTGTCCTCAACACCCGCATCCCTGGTCCCCAGCACCCACCTCACTTGTCCCTTGTCCCCAGCACCCGCATCCCTGGTCCCCAGCACCTGCATCTGTTGTCCCCAGCACCCTCCTCCTGGTCCCCAGCACCGGTCTCCCTCTCTTCCCTCCTGCAGTTCATGCTGGCAGGGGTGAAGCCCTGCCCGCCCTGCTGCTCCTTGCCTGGGGTTGTTACGCAGAGGTTTCTCAYTCCCGCATCCTCTCCAGGTGCAAGCCCAACGTCGTCGGCCGGCAGTGCGACCTCTGCGCCCCCGGCTACTACCACTACCCCAACTGCCGGCCGTGTGACTGCCACCGGGCTGGCACTGAAGCCAGTGTGTGCGACCCGGCCACGGGACGGTGTCACTGCAAGGTGAGTCCTCCGAGCGCCTTCGCACGCGCTGCTTCTGCTTAGCTGAGCCCTGTGCAGCACCTTGGATAACTCATACAGCCGTGTCCCTCCTCCACAAAAACCTGGTGGGGAGCAGTGACAGGTCAAGCTTTATCCGTCTTTGCCTTCCAGGAAAATGTGGAGGGCGCAAGGTGTGACCAGTGCCGCCTGGGGACGTTTTCCTTGGATGCCAGCAACCCCAAGGGCTGCACCAAGTGCTTCTGCTTCGGAGCCACCGACCGCTGCCGCAGTGCTGAGAAGCACCGAGCCGAGGTGAGCGGAGCAGGGACGGGGCTGCTGGAGCAGCTTCCTCCTCCTGGCTCCCGGGCCCTCTGCTCTTCCATCCTGCCCATGGGGAAGGTTGGACGTGAGRAGGGTTATCCTCAGTTTGCTGTGCCCTTCTCCCATGTTCAGCCCCCTTCCCTGGTCTTTTGGGTGGGAATTCACCCTTTTGGGTTTTGTTTTTGTGCCACGGGACCTCCAGCAAGGTGGGAGGTTGGGGGAGGTGCTTCCCGATGTCTTTGGTGAGCGAGTCTATGACCCTGCAGGACTCTGTGGCACTGCAGGGAGAATTGCTTTTCGGCAGTGCCAGCATCCACATATATTCTGTAGCTCCACAAGGAGCTCTGGAAACACCCCTGGTTCCCGTTTCATGCTGCAGCTCCACAAGGAGCTCTGGCAACACCCCTGGTTCCTGTTTCATGCTGTATCTCCATGGGGAGCTCTGGAAACACCCTGGTTCCTGTTTCTGCCCTAGTTCGTCGACATGAGCGGCTGGGTGCTGCTGGGCAGCGACCGCCAGCAGGTGCCCGTCGTCGCGAGCGTGCGGGAGCAGCTCGTGCGCGCCGATCTCCGGAGCCTCCCCGAGGCCTTCCAGGAGCTCTACTGGGCTGCACCCAGCTCCTACCTCGGCGACCGGGTAAGAGCCCCCGCTTGGCGAGGCAGCCGCCGCATCCCGAGCATCACTCACAACACGTGCAGGGGTGCCCGGCACCGTGCAGGGTTGCTCTGCGCTCCGGCAGAGCACGGGCAGCTCTGCACAGCCCCCCGAGCGCATCCCCATCCTGGCCCACAGCCACATAGCTCCAYCTGAGGCAGCTTGGCTCTCGCCTAGGTCTCGTCCTACGGCGGGTATCTGCGTTATGAGCTTCGCTCGGACCTGCGCCGGGGCGACGTCTTCATTCCCCTGGAGTCCCGYCCGGACGTGATCCTGAAGGTAGAGCCCAAGAAGTGTCCTGGGGCCTCCTGCTGCCCGTGAGCAGCSTGACACGGACTGGCTCCTTCCTTCCTTCCTTCCTTCTCCCAGGGAAACCAGATGAGCATCATGTTCCTGGAAGGCGCCTACCCCTCGCCGGGGGACGTGCACCAAGGGCAGCTGCAGCTGGTGGAGGTGAGTTTGCATGCACAAGTGAGCACCGAATAAGGCACACAGATGCCAACAGAAGGACAAGAYGAGGATGTAGACAGAAGGCAGAAGTGCTTTGAAATCAGTAGTTTTAAGTGCTTCTTGTTGCTGCTTTGTTTTTGTCTGGGCTCTCAACCATACAGAGAACAAATTAGCTGTGGATTCCAAGGCTTGAGTCTTTCACGTGAAATCAAAAAAATGAATGTTCTCTGCATCACTATCTTTGAGCCCGGCACAAACTGCAGCAGCGCATACTGGCCTCCTCGATGCCCATCCTCTCTCAAGGCCCGTGCCAGTCATTCTGGAATAAAGATCACTGCAGGGCAACCTCAGGCTTGGCAGCCTGTGTTAGTGTTAGTATTAGGCTGTGCTGGGTGTGATATCTTAAGCTCAACTGCCTTGGGCTTCAGGGCACTATGGCCTCCTTAGATGTGTGTGATAGCAAGTCATTAAGACAGGCATAAGATACTGAAACCCCTTGCTCCTAAAGCAGCAGTTTCAGCAGTCCAGTGCAGCAGAAGATCCAGGGGCAGTTTTGCAGCTGCCTAACACAGATTAAGGGCTTGTGCTTCCTGCCAGTAACACCAGGTCTTCTCCCACCAGGGAAACTTCCGGCACACGGAGACGCACAACCCCGTGTCCCGAGAGGAGCTCATGATGGTGCTGGCAAACCTGGAGCAGCTGCACATCCGCGCGCTCTTCTCYCAGCTCTCCTCCTCCGTGTCCCTGCACCGCGTGGTGCTGGAGACGGTGACGGACACGGCCACGGGTGTCCGTGCCAGCAACGTGGAGCTCTGCTTCTGTCCAGCCAACTACCAGGGGGACTCCTGCCAGGTAGGGGCAAGGAGGGCTGAGGGTGCACTGGGCAGAGCAGGATTAAATGCTGTTTGCTTTGGGCATGGCATGGGTGGCAGCCACAGGGCTTGGATGCACTTCATGCAACATCTGTGCAGCAGTGGTGCCTCCAAGCCAGCTCCTAAGGGCTCCAGTTCTAATTTTGGAACAGGCTCAACCCCAGGCAGAAGCCACTGCTCCCAGGCTCCCTCCCAGCACAACACCCACACCTGGGAGATGGGTGCTAGGGCTTGGGAAGAGCTGTCATGGGGAAACTGTGCAGGTGTTACAGGTCAGAATTAAGGGCAGGCTGTGCCTGAGGGTGGGTCCTGCCCCTCTGATGAGGAGAAGGAAAGAGCTACGCTGAGAAATCTTTAGCTGTTTTTGCTTCTAATCTCTTTTCCATCAGCACAGCCCTGTGGGAATTCTGCAATGAAAACTAAATCAGCCCCTGAATATGTT